GTTGGTGGAGGCTCGAGGGGCGCGCTCCCGAGCGCCCCCGCGGCCGGAAGTGCGCGCCGCAGGGGAAGGCGGGAAAGCGGCGGCGGGTTTATTAAAGGTCTGGTCCAGTTGCCAGAGTGGGGCGTGACTTGTTTTGTTGTGACTGGGAACGCGTGGTGCCAGTCCCGCGCTCGGCGAAGCGGTTTCGGCTTAAGACCTGTGAGATCCATGTGTTAATATGCCCTTCCTTGAGTCAGTAGTTAAGAGGGCGTCTCTGGGAGGTTAAAACAGAAGATTTTACAAACTTAATGAACTAGCGTTAAGAGGCTCTAGCAATACATTGATTATTGGAGATGGGCTGCTGAACGGGGGTCGGGGCCGAGGGGAGTAGCTAAGGCCAACACGCAAACATAAAGCAAATAAAACAACGCCATATATTGTATGTTTTGAAGTGGCTGCTGTGGAAAGTAAAGTAGGCACCCCTTTTCTTGATCTTTTGATTAAAAATTAGTGGATGAAGTTGCAGACATGTGCAGCTCATCCAAGAGCCAAGCCTGGAGCAAAGCTCTTTTCCAACTGAAACAAAATTGTTTGGCTCTCAACTAACTTGGGAAGCCACAGAGTTCCCTGGCTTACTCTGTGCGATGATCAGAAGTGAGTTTCCAAGACCTACTTACAGCAAGGTGAATGGATAAACAAATTGTGATAGATCCATAGAATTGAATACTACTAGGTAACAGAAAGGAACATGTAATAACAAGGATAAATTTCAAAATAATTGTGCTGAAAGAAGCCACAGAAGAGTATATATACTTGTATGATTCCATTTATACAAAACTATAGAAAATGCAAATTTATAACAAAGAAAAGCAGGTTCCATTTCCGGGGAAAGAGGGAGGCATTTCAAAAGGGCAAGAGGAAACTTTTGGGGTGATGGGCATATGCATTATCTTAATTGTAGATACGGTTTCACAGCTTCAGCAAGTCAAACAGTTTAAATATCTGCAGTATATTTTATGTCAATTAGACCTTAATAAAGCTGTTAAAAAAAACCCCAGCAAAACGAAAAATGTTATTTAGGAACACATACACAGATGGACACATTAAAAAGAAAAATCAAGGGCTGATTAATTCAAAATTCAAAATAGTAATTACCTGGAATTGGGGAAAGGGAGGGAACCAGGATGTCACCGTTGGATTCCTGTTCAGGGCACATGCCTGAGTTGCAGGCTCAATCCCCAGTAGAGAGCCAATCAATGACTCTCTCTTACTGATGTTTTTATCTCCCTCTCCCTTCCTCTGTCTGAAATCAATTAAAAAAAAAAAAAAATTGCATGTAAGGCATTGTATGGTCATAGGCTTTCTTTTCTCTTGGGTAAATATCTAAGAGTGGAATGGCTGGATCATATGATCGGTGTATAACTTTTTAACAAACTGCCAAACTGATTTCCAAAGTTGTAACATTTCACATTCCCACCAGCAGTGTATGAGACTTCCAGTTCCTACACATTCTTTCCAACACTTTATTTGGTCAGACTTTATTTTAGTCTTTTTAAGTAGATATCTCATTGTAGTTGTAATTTTAATTTGCATTTCCTTGGTGACTAATGATATTCAGCATCTTTAAGTGCTTACTTGTCAACTGTGTGTTGTCTTTGGTAAAATGTTCAAATCTTTTGCCCATTTAAAAAATTGGGTCGTTTGCTTTCTTATTTTCCTTATTTTACTTTTTTTTTTTTGCATGTAATGGTATTTCATTTGTTCCTATTGAATACAGTATTCCATCATATGAATCTACTCCATTGTCAATATGCATTTTGAGTTTTTTCAGATTTTTGCAGTGCAAATAGATTTCTAAATCACATGTACAAGAAAGTCTATTTTATATAGAATGGAATTACTGCGTTATAGAGTATGTTTATCTTCACTTTAACCAGTTTATACCCCTTGTAGCAGTGGATGAGAGATGCCTTTTTGCCACATTCTCACCAATAAAGTTAAGATTGGTCTGACACGAGCCGTGTGAAGTGGTATTTCATTGTGGCCTCAGTTTGTATTTCCCCAACGAAGTTGGACATCTTTTTATATGTTTATGAACATTCCTGGAGCAGTAACCCTGCTCTTTACTCTTTATGGTACCTTTTGTTGAACAAATTCTTAACTTAAATATGGTCAGAATTATCCAGCTTTTCTTCAGTTGTTTGCAACTTGTGCTTTTCCCCCTTGTTTAAGGCATAGATCCTTTCACCACTACCTCTGCTTCAAGACTATCCAGCCTGATCCCAGTCTCTACTTGGCCCAATTTGGATCTCTAGCCCTTTGTGAAAGAACTGTTAAATCTTTTGCCCTTTTAAAAATTGGATTGATGGTTGTTTTTCTTTCTGGTTTGTGAGAGTTCTTTTACTATTCTGGGAAACAATTTCTTATGGGTAATAGGTGTTGTGAATATTATAAATATCTTCTCCCAGTTTGTATTTTCACTTTCTATGGTATCTTAATATAATCAACTTTATCAATTTTTTGTTTTCTGCTTTGCACATATTATATCTTGTTTTAGAAATCTTTTCCTTGCCCGGCCAGGCATGGCTCAGCTGTTGAGCATTGACCTAGGATCCAGGCGATCAAGGTTCGATTCCCGGTCAGGGCACATGCCCGGGTTGCGGGCTCGATCACCAGTCAGGGGTGTGCAGGAGGCAGCCGATCAATGACTCTCTCATCAATGATGTTTCTCTCCCTCCCTCTCCTTTCCTCTCTCTGAGGTCAATAAAGATATATTAAAAAAATATATATATATATATATTTTCCTGTCTCAAGTTCTAGATGTTTTATACTTTAAATTTTTCTTTTTTGAAACTTTTTTCTTAATATTAAAAAAAAATTTTTTTTACTTATTTATGTTTATATTCCATAATATTTTCTATTAGTTTCAGGTGCACAGTGTAGTGGTTAGACAATCATACTTTTCAAAGTGTTCCCCTGATGTTTCAAGTTACAGTGTTGTATGTTTGCTTCTACATATAAATCTTTTATCCATGTGGACTTAGTTTGTGTGTGTATGTGGTATGGTTAGACTCAAGTTCATTTTTCTTCCCTATAAGTAATTACTAGTGTCCTCAACACCATATATTGAATAGTTGTTCATTTCTCATTGCTCTGCAAGTATCTCCTTTATCATAAGTCAAGTTTTCATAAATACACTCAACTCTTTGGCAGTTTTTTATTCAGTTTGATTGGTCTGTTTGCTATCTTGGGCCAATATAACAGTGTTTTAATTACTCTAGTTTTGTAATAAGTCTTTGATATCTAGAGCAAGCCCCCACATCTTTCTTGTTCTTCAAGAGTGCGTTTTTTCTTTTTGTTTTAACTTTTTTAAAAATTGAATTTATTGGGTGACTGGTTAGTAGAACCATACAGTGTTCAACTGTACAACTCTGTAACACATCCTCTGCACACTGCATCGTGTGCCCAGCACCCAAAGTCAAGTCTCCACCACCATTTACTTGTCCTCTGCTCTCTTCCACCTCCCCCAACCCCTACCCTTTCCCTCTGACAGTCTCCGTACTGTTGTCTGTGTCTGTTGGTTTTTCTTAATCCCTTCACTTTTTTCACCCAGTCTCCAACTCCCCTGTCCCCTCTGACAGCTGTCAGTCTGTTG